CTACACTGGACAATGAGTGAGTACATACCATATTCATATTTTTGGACCTGGGTTATTTCTCTCAGGATTGTTTGTGATCTAACAAATAAAGCTTGCATGAAGATCAGAGTGCAGAGCTAAGTCTCCAGTTAGCCATAGGGACCAGGCAGTAGTGGCACACACCTTTAATCCCAGCACTGAGGAGGTGGAAACAAGAGTAATATGACTGGGCAGAGAGAGGATTAAAGCAGGAGACAGGAGGTCAGGATTCATAGAGACAGGATCACTCCTTTGGTCTAATCATTGGTAGACATAAGAACTCTCTAGTGACTGGCTGTCATGCTTCTTTGATCCTTCAATTTCACTCCTAATTGCTGACTCCAGGTTTTTATTATTAACAATTAAAATTTGTGCTACACCTTTTTTTGTGTTGTTGAATAAAAAAAATCAAAGTCCTTTTGTTAGGGACTATACTTTAATTGTACAGTTCTGTAGGATATTGGAGACAGTACCTATTTCTCAGAAGTATAGGGGGCAAAAATTCTTTTCATACTTTGGGTCATCTCTTTATTGATAGTTTCCATTGCAGTGGGGAAGCAGCTTTTAAATTTCATAAATTCCACTTTCTTTAAAGAAAGTCTTGCCTATGTCTGTATCTTGACGTGTTTCTCTTTACTCCATGTCCCATGTATGTGTGTGTGTGCAAAATATGGGTTCATTTTCCTAGCACCATTAGTTGAATAGTCTTTTCCAGTGTGTGTTTCTGATATTTTTGCAAGTTTTTAGGTGTGTCCCTTTTCTCTTTCTCTTGTCTGGATGTTCTGGAGAAGACTCAGAACACTCTATGTTGTTTTAGGAAAGAGTCTGAGTGTGCCAGGAGACAGTGAGCACTCCTGTCTACTACCAGATTTAAGATTAAATTGTTTCACTTTTCTTTCCACTTACTATAGTCATTTTGGCTTATATGCTTGCTGTATATAACATTTGCCACACTGTAATATGTTCTTGTATTCCTAGATTCCTCAGATTTTTAATCATAAAAGCATACTGAACTTTTTCAAATGCTTTTCCTCCATCTAACCAGATTATCCTGTGATTTCTGTTCTGATGTATAACTATAGAACATATTAAATATACTGATCTTTGTATATTGAAGTAACTCTGTATCCCTAACATGAAGCCAACTTGGCTGTGATAATCTTTTTATGTGTTCTTAAATTTGATATGCAGATTTTTTGCATCTGTATTCATCAAGGGAATTGATCTAAACTTTTCTGTCTTGGCTGTATCACAGGAACGTTTTGGTATCAGAGAAATAATAGTTTTGTAGAATGAGTTGCAGAGCATTTCTCCCCTTTATGCTTTGTGAAATATTTTGAGAAGTATTGTTAGCAGGTCATTTCTAAAAGTTTGGTAGATCTCAACAGTGAATCTGTTTTACACTTTTCTTTATGGGGAGATGTTTAATTATCACTTCTAACATAGCTTGTAATTGGATTAAAAAGTTGATATAATCTTGATTTAATTTTATTAGGCTACATATATCTAGGAATTTATTAATTTTGTCTACATTTCCCAATTTATTGGAATATAAGCTTTCCATGTATTCCCTAATGTTCCTCTGGAATTTATTAGGGTCTGCTGTAACAATTTCCATTTTATCTTTAATTTCTTGTTTTGGGTGTTTTTTCACCTTTGGTTAGCTTGGCTAGAGGCTTGTCAACCATCTTTATCTTTCAAATTACCAGCTTTTTGAGTCTATATATTATAAATGTGTTGAAATAAGAGCAGCGGGGCTGCGTCTCCAGCACCCCGGCCGCCTGGCTAGCTTATGCCCGAAATAACAACACACAAACTGTATTCATTTAAACACTGCTTGGCCCATTTCTATCTAGCCTCTTCTAGGCTAATTCTCGCACCTGGACTAGCCCATTTCTAATAATGTGTGTAAGCACCCCAAGGTGCGCTTACCGGGAAGATTCTAACCTACGTCCATCCTGGGTCGGAGCTTCATCGCGTATGCCCAGGAAAGCGAAGCAGGGCCTCTGCTCCAGAGAGCAGAGCTGTCGAGTACGAGCTCACTTCCTCTTCCTCCCAGCATCCTATTCTGTTTACTCCTCCCACCTATGTTTTAACCTATCAGGGCCAAGGAGTTTCTTTATTGCTTAACCAATGAAATCAACAGATTGATATATGACACTCCCACATCATAAATGTATTCTTTATCTCATTATTTTGCCTTAATATTTATTATTTCTTGACATCTGCTGTATTTTTTTGTCTTTTTATTTTTCTAGAACCCTGAAGTGGATCATTAGCTTACTTACTTGAGGTCACTCTGATCCTTATACCAGAGTCAGAGCATAGCACCACCTATGTAACAAGCAGTATGCCTGATTTTAGAACACTGTGCAAAAGAAGTGGATGGATAAACTAATTACAATAATATCACAGTGCTCTGCAAAGATGGGCACAGGCTAGTTGTGAATACATTAAGAGAACACTAGACTTCATGATGAGGAGAGGTGAAAAGAAGTCAGGCCAGTATAGTCCTCTTCCTATGGGAAAGCAGGAAAAGAAAAGAGGGGGCTTCCCAGTGATCAGCTTAGAGAAGCCTGTCACAAGGTATGAACCAGACAACAAAGGAAGTGACCCTTATTCTCCCTTAAAAAAAAAGACATTTTCCCTTTTTAAGTCAAATAGCAGAGCCTCAAAGCTGCCTCTAATTCACAGCTTCATTTTTACTGTTTATGAGGACATTTAGAACTTGATCATCAAGTACTTGACGAAAACATAGTTTAACCTAGAGTGGTGGCTCAGGAGTCAGGAGCACTTGCTGCTCTTGCAGAGGACTGAGTGCAATTCCCAACACCTTTGTGGAATAGCTTCTAAGTACCTGTAACTCCAGCTTCAGAGATATGACACCTCAGATATGTGCACACACCCACACAAACACACATACATAGACATGATTTAAAATGAAACATATAGTTCAAAAAGTTCTCTGGATTAAGCAAAAAACAAGGATACCTCTCTCTCCTCTGTCTCTGTCATGGGATTCCCCTCTGTATGATGTGAATACCATTGGTTAATAAAGGACTGCTTTGGACCTATAGCAGGGCAGAACTTAGTTAGGTGGGAAAGACTAAACTGAATGCTGGGAGAAGGAAGGTGGATTAAGGAGAAGTCATGTTGCCCTGCTGGAGACAGATGCTGGAACTTTACCCTGTAAGCCACAGCCTCGTGGCAATATACAAATTAATAGACATTGGTTAAATTAATATGTAAGAGTTAGTCAATAAGAAGCTAGAGCTAATGGGCCAAGCAGTGTTTTAAATGATAGAGTTTCTGTGTGATTATTTAGGGGCTGAGCAGTCAGGAACAAACAAGAGGCTCTCTTTACAACATGTCTCTGTCTTTCTCTGAGTTGGAGATGGAACACAGGTTCTTACACTTGCTACACAAGTGTTCTATCTACCCCACGTCACACCCCAAGACTAGGTACCTCCTTTAGAGAGCATATTCTCTCCATATACTTGACCAATATTTTCATGTAATATCTCTTTTAGTTATACCACCCAAGGTTTAGACTAAGTGTAGCAGTTTAACAAAGATTATTCATACTTAGCTTACATAAAAACCAACAACAACTAAGGAAGTTTTATTTGTCCACAATTTCAGGTTGGGTCTCTTCCAGGTATTCCTTAGAGTCTTCCTACCAACTATCAACTTTTCTTTTCCTCCCTCCTGTTGGTTTTCTTTTTCTTCTTTTCTTTTACTTTAGTGATCATGTCTTGGCTCCTAGTCTATGCTCCTAGGATTATAAGACTCTACTAATACTGTTAAATGAAGGCTCTCCTGTCTCCCTGCTGCAGTTCCCTCTTAAATAAGTTGCCTTTGTTTTGTGCTGTCTCATTCAACTAGGTTATGCCAAGGGCATGAGCAGGAATGTGATGAGGAACATGAAACTGACCTTCACAAGCACTCTGGCCTAAATGCACCTACAGGGCTGTCAACCTCCTTTTAGACAGTGAAGGCATGCATAGAAATAACATAAGCTGCCACATCCCTCTGTGGTCACTGTACAATCTAGCTTTCTGAAAACAGAGTAAAAATGGTCTATTAAACAACTCAGCTAAAGCACATAACATAGCATTAATATTGTTGGGATTTTTGTTTTCACATTTCCATATATGCAAATTGTAGTTTTAAAACTAGGATTCCATTGGCTAAATCTCTTAACCTATCTAAGGCAGATGTCTCCTGCCTGAGCAGCAATGTTCTTAAGAAAGTTTGCAAGAAATCCTCATGTTTGACCTTTGAGTTTTTGACACTACTTGGGAAATGGCAGTTAACACATTACCTGCATTTTCATGATATGAATTTTTTATGACACAGTTACTTTTATCTTAATATATAAAGATTATTTTTTGCTATTTGAAGATTTAAACTCATAAAAACAGAAGAAAGACACCAAATATCAGTGTTAGAATGCCAGAAATGTGGCTATAGTATCTGATTTTACATCATAAAAGTCAAGGTTCTCTGAATACTTATCACTTAATGTCATATAGTTACTTATAAACATTTGTATATTTAAATGTACAAATTAACATATACAAGCTTATACAGTTCTAAATATTCATCAGTTGATGTTATGTGGTTACTTATAAATACTCATATATTTAAATATTTAATACATGCAAACATACAGAAGTCACCAAGTAACTTTTTATTCAAGAACTAAAAACAGAAAAGGGTTTTCCAAAAGGAAACCACTGCTCTTTATTAAGTAACCATCAGTGCATTTTCTTATCCCATCAACTATCTTTCCAGTAACCCCCTCCTGCTTCAAATTTCTGTTTCTGATCACTAGATTCCTAAAACAACAGGAGAGGAAAAGAAGAGGGCCACAGTCAGGGAAGTCAAGAGATATTTGTATATTTTAAAACAGCATACATATAATGTGATTTCCAACATAAAAGGAAAAGGAACCTTCTGGGTCAGAAGAGGTCACTTACCTGCTGCTCCTGAGCTCTAGCAGCACCAAGTTCTGAGAGTGACATGGTGAGCTTCTCTTGCTGTTCTGATAGGTACTTCTGGTAGAGACTAAGAAGTTCTTGGCATTCTCTATACTGTAGCTGAAGAGGTGAGATTGCAAATTAAGGAGAAAAAACTGGTTCATATACAGATTGTAATAAAGAAGACAAAAGCGGAAATACAACAACATTTGGTCAGAGGCAGTAGCATGGAGTCATCAGGTAAAAGCAGTGTATGTGTCCAGTCACAAAGCAATAATTTTAATAAATAAAGTAGCACTGAAGCCAGGTGGTGGTGACACATGCCTTTAATCCCAGAACTCAGGAGGCAGAGGCAGTGGATCTCTGTGAGTTCTCCAAAGTTACACAGAGAAATCCTGTCTCAAAAAACCAAAACCAAACAACAACAACAACAACAAGAAAGTAGCACTGGCCATCCCAGTGAAGAGACATTTCTCTTAGTTCTTTGCAGAGTTATGCAAAGGAACACCTATCACATTATGTAAACAAGCAAAATGAAGCAGAGCATAGACTGTATGACTGCAATCCCATGTGCCCAAGGATGGACTGGGCAAAAGAGTCAGACATAAAAAGAAGGAAAAGGGAAAAGGAAGAAAGAGGAGAAAGAAAAAGATAAGGTATGAAAAGGAAAGAGAAGGAAAGGAAAGGAAAAAGATAAGAAACCAATGATTTAAATTTAAGAGTTAAAATTATAACAATCTCAGACCTGACACAGCGAACACCACAGGAACATATACAGGGAAAGGAACTGTTGAGCAAGTGAGCCAGAGCCAGAGACCAATGAGGGTTCAGACATGAATCTGGGACCTTCAAGGGAGTAAGTAGCCCTTAGCCAGGAACTCTATGGGTCTGGGCGTGAGTCTAAGACCTCCAATGGAACTAGGCCTGAGCTAGGACCTCTGCTGGTCTGGGCATGAATCTGGGACCTTCAATGAGGTAGGCAAAAACCAGAGATCTCTAAGGGTCCAGGTATGAGTCTGGGACCTCAGTGGGAGTAGGCCTGAGCCAGGACCTTTGTGGGTCCAGGCGTTGGTCTGGGACATCAAAGGGAATAGGCAGGAACCAGAAACCTCTGTGGGTCTAAGTCTGAGTCCGGGATCTCTGAGGGAGTAAGCCTGAGCCAGGTCCTCTGCTGGTCTGGGCATACCCGAGCCTGGGAACTCTGAGGGAGTAGAACAGAGTCAAAGACCTTTGCAGGACCAATTCTAAGCCAGGGACCTAGGAAGGAGTGGATCCAGACCAGGATTTACAGAAACAGATTAAAGCCAGTAACCTATGCCAAAGTAGGGCTGAGGCAACTAACTCCACCTTGGGCTGGGGCATGCCTGGGGCAACGAATCCCACAGGAGTGAGACTGAACCAGAGACCTAGGCCAGAGTAGGCCTGAGAAAGCTAGCTCCATGGGAGCAGGAGTGAACCTAGTCCAGGGACATTGGTGGACCAGAACTAAGCCAGCAATCTGGGACTGAACAGACCTGAGACAGCAAACTCCACAGAAATGCCCACCAAAATCCCAGCAAAATTCTTCACAGACCTTGAAAGAATGGTACTCAACTTCATATGAAAAAGCAAAAGACCCAGGATAGCCAAAACAATCCTGTGCAATAAAAGAACTTCTGGAGGCATTACAATCTCTGACTTCAAATTCTAGTACAGAGCTACAATACTGAAAACAGCCTGGTATTGGCATAAAAACAGACAGGAGGACCAATGGAACCAAACTGAAGACTCAGGTATTAATCCACACACCTTCAAACACCTGATTTTTGACAAAAAAAAATCAAATGGAAAAAAGAAAGCATATTTAACAAATGGTGCTAGCATAACTGGATATCGACATGTAGAAGAAAAAATAGGCCCATATCTATCACCATGCACAAAACTCAAGTCCAAATGGATCAAACACCTCAACATAAAGCCAGCCACACTGAACATCAAAGAAGAGAAAGTGGGAAGTACACTTGAACACACTGGCACAGGAGACCACTCCCTAAATATAACCCCAGCAGCACAGACACTTAAACAATTAATAAATGGTACCTCCTAAAACTGACAAGCTTCTTTAAAGCAAAGGACATGGTCAATAAGACAAAATGTCAGCCTACAGAATGGAAAAAGATCTTCACTAACCCCACATGAGACAGAGGTCTGATCTCCAAAATATACAAAGAACTCAAAAAAAAAAAAACTGGTTATCAAAAGAACACATAATCCAATAAAAAAAATGGAATACAGACCTAAACAGAGAACTCTCAATAGAGGAATCTAAAATGGCTGAAAGACACTTAAGGAAATTTTTAACACCTTTAGTCATCAGAGAAATGCAAATCAAACCAACTCTGAGAATCCATCTTACACCTGTAAGAATGGCCAAGATAAAAAACACTGATTATAACTTATGCTGGAGAGGTTGTGGGGAAAAGGGAACACTTCTGCATTGCTGGTGGGAATGCAAGCTGGTACAGTCCCTTTGGATCAGTATGGTGATTTCTCTGAAATTTAGGAAACAACCTTCCTCAAGACCCAGTAATACCAATTTTGGGTATATATCCAAAGGATGCTCAGTCGTGCCACAAGGACATATATTCAACTATGTTCATAGTAGCATTGTTTGTCATAGCCAGAACCTGGAAACAACCTAAAAGCCCCTCAACCAAAGAATGGATAAGGAAAATGTGGTACATTTACACAATGGAGTACTACATACCAGAAAAAAATAACTACAAGTGGATGGAGCTAGAAAACATCATTTTGAGTGAGGCAACCCATACCCAGAAAGACAATTATCACATGTACTCACTCATAAGTGGTTTTTAAACATAAAGAAAACCAGCCCACAAATCACAATCCCAGCATACCTAGACAACAATGAGGACCCTAAGAATGACATACATAGATCTACATAGGAAGTAGAAAAAGACAAGATCTCCTGAGTAAATTGGGAGCATGGGGACTTTGAGAGAGGGTTGAAGTGGAGGGGAAAGGCAAGGAGGGGAGCAGAGAAAAATCAATAAACGAAAAAAAAACCTATAACAATCTCAGAAGAAATCATACAAGTGCTTCTTTGTGACTTTGAATTAAGAAACCACAAAAAATGCCTCAAAATGAAATATGTTGATATTGTGTATATGGTAAAGAATTAATATTCAGAATATATAAACAGATCCAATAACTAAACATAAATAATATTAATCTAATTTTAAAAACTGTCAAAGGCTGAGGCAATCTGCAAAAGGAAATATGTAGATGGCCAAGCAAGTAAAAGAAGCTAACCACAACTGGATATCGGGGAGAAAGGTAAATCAAATGCGCTAGGAGAAAGAACTTTATATCCAGTAGGACAGCCTTAATCAAAGACTCATGAAGGCAAGTCTAACAAGGACATGCTCAAGTGGAACCTTCTAGTCTATCTAACAGGCATGTAAATGTACCGCTACTTTGAAAAACAAATTAGTAGTATTTTAAAATGTTAATTTACTACATAATCCAATATATCTCTCATCATCCAAGAAAGAAATTTTAAAAAGTCTAAACAAAAAACTCATACATGGCATCTTCAGAGCAGCCCTGCTTATAGTAGTTTAGAAGCAACAAGAACCTTAATAATGTCCATCAATTTATCAACAGAACAGTATCTATAAAATAAAACATCTTTTGATCATAAATAAATGAGGAAGTCATAATACAAACCTTGAAAATATTATGTCATGAAAAAGAGTACTTACACATAGAGTAGATATCATAAGCATTTATTTTTATGAGAAGTCAAGAATAGGCAAGTCAAACAAGGAAGTAGATTGGTGTTGCTAAGACTGGAGGAGAGGAGCTTGGGCAATGGGTGCAGGTTTGGAACTAGGTTTTGGAGTGAGATGGTGGCAGTGTTGTTACTCGGGAAAATGTCATTTACTTGTACACTTGGAAATGTCAGATTTTTATGTAAACATTATCTTAATGATTATTGCCTATTTTATACATTAAGTTCCTAACTCTATTAAGCATAAAGAGATTATACTTTGAATTTTTGTCTTTATTTGCATTTAATAATCACATCACTAATACTGTTACCAGGAATTTTCTGCTGTGCTCCTTTTTCCCCCCAGAGCTCCTAGCATGTGAAGAATGCTCAATGTAAACACACTAAGTCCAACTTCATAGGTCAGGCACCTCCCAGCTTCTTAATGTTCTCCCTTCTTAATTTTCTCCCTTTTTCTCAGATCATTTCTGAATCTCCCTCTCAGCACTTATTTAGGTATGCTGTTGGCATAAGAATTACTGTCCAATGGGATTACTCTATACATATACTTCTACACCAGATCATCATGATTAAGAACAGGGATAATATTTCTTAAATGTCAAAAATTGTAACTAGTTTCAATATTCCTTAACATTTTCATAACCTAATCATTGCTTCTGGGCAGATTCCTGTTCTAATAACTTTTGCCAATCATAACTGCATAAATAACCAACTGCTTCATTATTCTGGTTATTAACCTTTAACAAAAAGGAGCCCAAGATGGCTTATAGGAGAAGACTGGCTCACAGTGAAAGGCCAGGTCACTAAGCTTATAGAATACATTAATTCCAAGAGCTTACTGAATACTTTGCATCTGAAACAATAGCAGAAATAACAGAGCAAGAACAGTGGTCTAAGTAAGGTAATAGTTTCTAATGTTAATCTATGTTGGATTCCTGTGGTTTTACATTTCTGGTTTTGTGTGTGTGTGTGTGTGTGTGTGTGTGTGTGTGTGTGTGTGTGTGTGTAAACTTCAAGAGACACAAATGATTTGTTTGGTCCCAAGGTGTTTGTGACAGCTATTATGAATACAAAACATTTTTATTCCAGCTGATACCATAGGCAATAATATTTATAATAGATGAATGTCTAGTCACAGAATACAAATTTTATTCTGGAAAATAGCAAGCACAATTACACAGACTTGAGTTAACGTCAGCATTTGACATGAGATATAGACATTAAATACATGCCATGTGGCAGTGTGGTGTTTTGACTAAAAATGGCCCCCACAGGCTTATAGGGAATGGCACTATTAGGAGGTGTGGTCTTGTTGGAGTAGTGCCTTTGCTGGAA